TTTTACTTTTTTTTTTAAAAAACTAAACTTGAAAGAAAAATTTACACATTTATTGTATTTTTTAGCACTCTTCTAGTTAACTAATTGTTTTTTTCTTAATTTAAAAAATACCGTCTACTATAATTTGTGTATGGTTAATAACTTAAATTGAAGCCTCTTACAAGTTTTATATATTAATAAAGCATGTTATACATTATAGCTTTTTTTATACATTATAATTATTTTTTTTCAGCATTAGTTATGGAGAAATATTTTTGTAAAATGCCTCTGAAAAAAAGTTCACATTAAAATGTTTTGAAATGAGATACTTTAATTCCAAACTAATACGAATCTCGTGCGATGCACGAGTAAGATATATTCTTTAATATTTACAAACTAAAATTACTCATTACATAATATTTATAAATTAAAAATATTGAATCAATATGTAATAAGTTTTACTTATATTAATTTATTTAAAATGTTATATAAAATTTAAAATTGTGCACAATTACATAAAACGTGTCTATTTAAATTTAGTTCGTATGGTGCATATAACTGATAATAAATTACATTATACTCATATAAAAATAAGTGTAATTTTTGAAGATTTTATTGAGAAATTCGATTTGATTACAATGTGATTCCATAGAATAAATATTTTAGTAAAATTTTATCGTCTATTTAAAAAATCTATGTAAATAATAAGTAGATTTATAAATCTTATAACTACAACATAAGTGACTTGGGCTTTTCTACAGTCAGGTACCCTTGTACTTTGGCTTGTACTTACTTAACAGCAGGTATTCCTTAAGTGATTGACACGTGTCTTTTTTTTATTTAATTAAACAAAAATTCAAAAAAATAGTTGTTAAAAATACAAAAATACCCTTACTTAAAAAAGTTAAGAAATATATAACTTAACAAAAAAATATATTTATGTATAAGGTGTTTAACTATTCAGATATTATTATTTTACCTAAACACCTCTACATATTCCAATTAAGCCACAAATCTTAGTAAATTATATTTGTATCGTGTTCTATCCATCATCTTCGTAGTTTCCCCAATTTCAATCTCATCATGGTCGGCCCGGCTTCCACAGTCCAAAATCGCTTCCACCGCTGGAAAAATTGTCCTTCACCTCAATCCCAGCCCCTTGTACGGCAGCCACTCGGCTTCCCTCCCCCTCGACGACCTCGTCTCTTTCCTTAATAAAACCCAATCAGACACCTTCGGCATCCCTCAACGTCCATCGCGAGCAGTAATCGAGGAGCCCACCTTGTTGTCCGCGTGAACACCGAGAAGACTAGTCGAGAAATAGCCGCCGTCGCGTGTCTCTGTTTGCTAAAAGCTGCCGACATCCGCCTATCAATCGCCGGCAACGACCCTCCGTCGCCCTCTTTCTCTGTTCGCGAATTGAGTCCCTCATCGCCGGCATCAACCGCTGTCGAGACCTACTGGTGACGCCACGCCGTGAACAAGCCCTTCGCCGGCGTACTGTGTGTGATCCATCCTCTGCCGACGACGAGAATTTCAGTCCCAGCCACCGTCGAGTCGCGAACAGCCATTGCTCTGAAAAATTGTTGTTAATCCGCCGTCATTCGAGCCACCCCGGACAACAACCGTGAGCCGAGGCGAGTCCCGTTCACGTCCTTTCAGCTGCCACGAACCGTAGTCTCGCACAGTGTCGCGAAAAATCGTCCGAGGTCTACCGTGCACAGACCTGGCAGCAGCGACACAGACGAGCCGACTCCATTCGGAGCCTTTGTGTGGGTCGAGTAGCAGTCAATGGCTATCGGGCTACAGTAAACTGAGAGCAACAAATTATGATCTCCATTTTTATTCCCGACAAGAAGTAATATGGCCATTCTTGACTTGTCTCTTATTTGCTAGTGTTAAATGAGCTCCTGCAGCCTGCTTATTTGCATATTTGAGACTCATGTACTGGCATATTGCTAAGCCGTATGATGTGAGGTGATTATGAGGCTGTGAACGAATAAATATTAACATGTGATCTCAGTTATATGAACTTGGCATATGAGATGATTGCTCGAGATAAAAGAATGTGATTTTGAGGCATCATAGTGTTGATTGCTTTAGCCCTTATTTTGAATTATGTGCTTGAGCTGTGTTGTCTTGCCATATTGTTTGAGTTGTTTTGAGGCGGTTGTACATGGCATTTGGAATGAATAATTTTTTCTATCATTCTGAAATTGTGAGTTTTTGAAGTGTTATGATTCAGTCATTAGATGTAATTACATGCCTTCTTAAGATTAGTTAAAGTTTAGAAAGGAGAAACCATGAGCTATGTACTTTGCATTATGTTGTACAGAGCATGTTGAGCCATATTTATCTGTCTCAATTTTTCTTTTTATTCTCTCGAACTCACTTCCTCTGTAACTCCAAAAATATTGAAGAATTTTTTCTTCAAACTATATTTTAATTTCCACGACAAATATTCGAAGGAATCCAACTATGTTCTTTGAAGAGAAGAGAAGCCAGGTCGTGCCCGCAATGTTAAAGGGTCTAAAAAATGCAGATGATAAGGGGACTATTGATGAGATCTCGTCCGTGAGCGCACGACCGAATGCTAAGAGAAAGGGAATCAGTCTAGGGCCCGTGGAGATCATCTCGGGGTCCCGTAGGGGGGCCAGCGTTGGGCCCGCAAAGATATTTGGGGCCGCTAGGTCGAGGCAAATGTTGTGGAGGCCCGAGATGTCCACTCCAGTTCAGAGCTGGAGAAAATCGTGCTACTGGAAGTTGCAGGGCATAACTGAAGAGAAGGCGAGCTCGGGCAAGGGCTTCTCGAGCGTGGCCCAAAGCGGAGTGTAGTCTGAATTCAAGAACTCGAGGCAAGCCGCAACAACGATTTCGTCGAGAAAGGCTTTGAAGAAGGACGACTCAGTTCTGAATTCGGTCCAGCCCAAGAAACTGTTCAGGGAATACGTGGCGAACCATAAGAAGCTGTGGAGGCCCGAGAGGAATGTGGCTAGCCGGTACAACAATTTGAACTCTGGTCAGATCCCCTCAGTGGGAAATGGGTCCTTGCCGGAAAAGGATGATGGTTAGCTAGAAATTCGATAGTAAATGTGTCGTGTCAGTGGGGAAAGTCCGGTACATTGTATTGTGAAGAAAGGGATGAAAGATTGAAACATCATCTTATGGCCTCTAAGGAGCTTTACCCTGCTTTGATATCTCCAGAGTGTGAGTACAAGGTGCATAGGTGTTCTAACTTGAAGGAATATGTCAAAAATTCTGTTATTGGTAGTTTTTTTATGATGTCTAATACATTCTCATATGCTGGTTCTTCAGCGGCTCATGGATGGGGTTTTAGCTGTTGTACTCAGAATCAAGGGAGGTCCAATGCCCCTTAGTCAAATGCATTGCTCGTGAACTCTTATAAGATGAACATGTTATGTTTTAAGATGAATATGTTTTATTATCAGTTGAATATGTTAAATAATAAGATGAACATGTTTCTTTCTCTGATGAACATGTTTATTAACACGATGAATATGTTGATTTTGTACAAGATGAATAAGTTGATTGTGTACGTAATATGTTTCTTAACATTATGAATATGTTTCTTTGTAAAATGAACATGTCAACTTATAAGATGAACATGTTATGTTATAAGATGAATATGTTTTATTATCAGCTGAATATGTTAAATTATAAGATGAACATATTTCTTTCTCCGATGAACATGTTTATTAACACGATGAATATGTTGATTTTGTACAAGATGAAGTTTCTTAATATGATGAATATGTTTCATTGTAAAATGAACATGTCAACTTATAAGATGAACATGTAATGTTATAAGATGAATATGTTCTATTATCAACTGAATATGTTAAATGAATATGTTAAATTATAAGATGAACATGTTTCTTTCTGAGATGAACATGTTTATTAACACGATGAATAAGTTGATTTTGTACAAGATGATAAGTTGATTTTGTACATAGTATGTTTCTTAACATGATGAATATGTTTCATTGTAAAATGAACATGTCAAATTATAAGATGAAGATGAATATGTTTAAAATTAAAAAAAAAATATTCATAACTTACGGGTTAATATAAACTTGGACGTAAATTAAATAGTCAATTATATATAATTTAAAAAATTACTCAATAACTTATGAGTCAATATTAACTTGGACGTAAACGAAATAGTCAATTATTTATAGTTTAATAAATTACTCAACTACTTGATTTTTTATTTGAATAGTTTATACGAAAATAAAATATTTTAAGTAACTAAAAATAAATATTATATTTATAATTATTATTCACATAGGTTGTTAAATATATGATAACATTTTACCAAAATAACTTTTTTCTTTGTAATCACATTATAATCAAATCAAATTTCTGAATAAAAAATTTGTTGAATCACATTATAGTCACATCGAATTTTTGAATAAAATGACTAAATTAGACCTATAACGAGTTTAACATCTTTATTATATATTATATGACGAATGTACTATCGTTTAATGTGGATTTGGTCGAAAAACAACCATAATGATTGTACATTCGTTATAACGAATGTACATTTGTTATGGTTGTTTTTCTTGACAAATGTGCTTTCTCTATGTTTTTTATCGAATTACTTGATAACGATTGTATATTCATGTTACACGTCATTGGAACGATAGTTTAAAAGTGTTAGAGCGTCGAAACACTCATAACGAAACTCTTTTTATGAAATAACGATACTTTTTTTTTTTTTTTTTTNNNNTTTTGAAAAAAGGTTAGATCATGTAAAATCAATGTACATTCGTTATTTTAACTTAAAAATGACTAGAATTTGACCTATACCGATTTTACCATCTTTATAATGTATTATAATTGACATCTTAGGACTAATTCTAGTTCGATTACACTATAATTCTATGGACTAATTATAGCTTAGGACTAATTCTAAGGACTAATTCTTGCTTAGGATTCGTAAAGCATTACCATCTTAGGACTAATTCTAGTTCGATTACACTATAATTGACCGTGATTGGACTAATTCGAGTTCGATTATACTAATTTGACTTCGATTGGAATAATTCGAGTTCGATTGGACTAATTTGACTTCCATTGGACTAGTTTGATTTCGATTGTACTAATTTGACTTCGATTGTAGTAATTTGACTTCGATTGTACTGATTTGACTTCGATTGTACTGATTCGACTTCGATTGTACTAATTTGACTTCGATTGTACTAATTTGACTTCGTTTGGACTAATTTGACTTCGATTGTACTAATTTGACTTCAATTATAGTAATTTGACTTCGATTAGACTAATTCTAGTTCGATTACACTATAATTGACAGTGATTGGTCTAATTCGAGTTTGATTATACTAATTTGACTTCGATTGGACTAATTCGAGTTTGATGGGACTAATTTGACTTCGATTGGACTAATTTGATTTCGATTGTACTAATTTGACTTCATTATACTAATTTGACTTTGATTTGACTAATTTGACTTCGATTGTACTAATTTGATTTCCATTGGACTAATTCGAGTTCGATTGGACTAATTTGACTTTGATTGGACTAATTTGATTTTGATTGTACTAATTTGACTTCGATTGTAGTAATTTGACTTCGACTGTACTAATTTGACTTCGATTGTACTAAATCGACTTCGATTGGACTAGAATGACTTCGACTGTACTAATTTGACTTTGATTGGACTAATCTGATTTTGATTGTACTAATTTGACTTCAATTGTACTAATTTGGTTTCGATTGGACTAATTCGAGTTCGATTGGACTAATTTGACTTCGATTGGACTAATTTGATTTCGATTGTACTAATTTGACTTCGATTGTAGTAATTTGACTTCGACTGTACTGATTTGACTTCGATTGTACTAATTCGACTTCGATTGTATAAATTTGACTTCGATTGAACTAATTTGACTTCGATTATAGTAATTTAACATCGATTGGACTAATTCTAGTTCGATTACACTATAATTGACCGTGATTGGACTAATTTGAGTTCGATTATACTAATTTGACTTCGATTGGAATAATTCGAGTTCGATTGGACTAATTTGACCTCTATTGGACTAATTTGATTTCGATTGTACTAAATTGACTTTGATTGTAGTAATTTGACTTCGATTGTACTGATTTGACTTCGATTGTACTAATTCGACTTCGATTGTACTAATTTGACTTCGATTGGACTAATTTGACTTCGATTGGACTAATTTGATTTCGATTGTATAATTTGACTTTGATTATAGTAATTTAACTTCGATTGGACTAATTCTAGTTCGATTACACTATAATTGACCGTGATTGGACTAATTCGAGTTTGATTATACTAATTTGACTTCGATTGGACTAATTAGAGTTTGATTGGACTAATTTGACTTCGATTGGACTAATTTGATTTCGATTGTACTAATTTGACTTCATTGTAATAATTTGACTTTGATTTGACTAATTTGACTTTGATTGTACTAATTTGATTTCCATTGGACTAATTTGACTTCGATTGGACTAATTTGACTTCGATTGGACTAATTCGACTTCAATTTTTGTATAATTGACTTCAATTGTACTAATTTCACTTCAATTATAGTAATTTGACTTCGATTGTACTAATTCGACTTCGATTGGACTAGAATGACTTCGATTGTACTAATTTGACTTCGATTGGACTAATCTGATTTTGATTGTACTAATTTGACTTCAATTGTACTAATTTGATTTCGATTGGACTAATTTGTTTTCGATTGGACTAATTTGATTTTGATTATACTAATTTGACTTCGATTATAGTAATTTGACTTCGATTGGACTAATTCTAGTTCGATTACACTATAATTGAAGATATTTGAACTATAGAACATTGTACTGTAATTAAAATTTTTGAATACAATAATAAGAAAATAAATTAATATTTGAATTTATATATATCAAATATTTTATATTTATATATTTTTTTTTATTAAAAAATATATAAATATTTATTGACTTATTTTAAATAATATATGTATTTGTCCAGTCCGATCAACCGTTTAGTTGACCTATTATCGATTCAACAAGTAGTTTGGCCTAATTTTCAAAACAATAGTAGTATATATGATTTTAATTTTTAAAATTTTATTAACCTCTACAGCTCTATGTTCTTACAAAATAAAATAATTATCTTTTAAATATATTTATTAAAATTTTTTAGAATGAGTACGAATAGTCTCCTTCAGCGCCGTTGTCTATGAGTAAGATTAAGACCTCAAAAGCTAAAAGGGAATCTTGCCGCCTAATATTTTGCTCTCTAAAATTTGGCGCTTGTTTATATTATTTTGGCTTCCAAAGGTGCGTAACTTATATTACAAGATGTTTTTTAATAATTATATATTTATTGAGGAAATAAAAAGACATTAATAATAAAATAATAATAATAATAATAATAATAATAGTTATATTTGTTACCATTAATTAATCAGTCGTAATTAACAAAATAAATTAGCAAACATGTGGTAGGTCGTAAATTAACAACGCGTTAATAGATTTTTTGTTGCATTAAAAAGGAACTTTTCGACTATCAAATTTGTGAAAGATCATGTAAAATGTTTGTGCATTTATTATTTTACATGAAAAATAACAAAAATTAGACCTATAACGAGTTTAATATCTTTACAATGTATTATATGACGAATGCACCGTGGTTTAACGTGGATTTGGTCGAAAAACAACCATAACGAATGTACATCCATTATGTTTGTTTTTCGTAACAAACGCGCTTTCTGTATGACTATTTTTTATAACCATTGTATATTTATGTTCTATGTCATTGTAACGATAGTTTAAAGGTGTTAGAGCGTCGAAGCACTCATAACGAAACTCTTTTTTTGAAATAGAAATACTTGTTTTTTTTTTTTTTGAAAAATGGAAAGATCATGTAAAATGTTTGTACATTCGTTATTTTATATGAAAAATGACTAAAAATAGACCTATAACGAGTTTAATATCCATATAATGTATTATATGACGAATGCACGGTGATTTAATGTAGATTTGGTCAAAAAACAATAACGAATGTA